GAGGCTCCGAGAAGATTAGGTGACTCACCCAGGGAAATTACAAAATACGTTGGTGGGCCATATTTGGCCTGTGGCCCCTCAACCTTAAATAGTGAATCCAACTAGCTAGTCTTACAGATGGGGAAACTGAGGCCCAGAGAGGTGAGGAGCTGTGCCCAGTAACACAAGGGAAGGGTGAGAAGCAGAGACCTGCATTTCTAGACTCCCAGCCCTCATCCTTCTCTGGCTACCCGCTCCTCCTGACCTCCTGGCCTTCACAATTCTCCTGCAGGTTCTTCAGTTCCACTCACCCCTTGTTCACAAGGACAGAGCCCCAGGCTACCGGCTAGAAGAGCCAGTTCCAGCCCTGGCTCAGTCCCAGACTCCTAAAATCAAGTCAACTGTTTCACTTTCCTGGGCCTCGGTTTCCGCCTCTGTACAGGGCGGGTAACAACCCCAAGGTGGGCGTGCAAATTAGATAAGGTCACCGCTGACGGAATGTACCTACAGCAGTTAATGCTTTTCCTTTTCCTTTTCCTCTCTCAGTGCTCGCAGGATCTGTCCCCTGCATCCTGCTGCTCTGTCCCCGTGCTCGGCCGGGGGAGCTACAGAGCCACCCAAGTTCGGCGCTGGAAGAAAACTCACGTTTTACAGATACGGAGGCTGAGGTTTAGCGAGACCAAATAACTTACGAAGATCTCACAGCCTGTAGGCACCCAGGGGTCTCCCAACCCAGGACATTCTCCACACCGTCCTCCCGCCCTGGCGGGTGAAGTGTCTCCAGCATCCCCCGCCGCCCCGATGCTCCGCCCCAAAAGCACAATCACCCAGGTTCTGCAAGGGGCGTTAACCCTTTGCTGCCAGAGGCATTCCTCGGCTCGGGACCTCGATGGCTTTAGAAGGGGTACCGGATGGGCGGGGAGAAAGGGAATGGTCTTGCACCCGGTCCAGATTCGCCCTGTCCCCCGAGGATGACACGTTATGACCCCGCACCCTCGCGCCGCGCCTCACCTGCTGCCGCGGCTCCGATCGCAAACTCACTTCCTGCTTCCGGCTCCCCCATTCATTGGGGCTCCGCGAACTCCTCCCCCACCGGCCAATTGTCGGGCCTCGGGACCCAGATGGGCGTCACCTCCAGCCAATGGGAGCGCCGAGGCGTGCTCCGCCGGCCTGCCGGCTCCCCGCTTCCCGGTGCTTTGGGGTCGCGCGGGGTTGGGGGTGGGG